GGGGGGGGGGGATCATTTATATGCAGAATTCTACTAGAGCCAACAATTCATTTTCAAGTTTTCTCAGATTATTACCTATAAAAGGCATATCAGTAATGTCCCAGTGGGGCAAGTACTGGCTCAAGTCAATTAGTAAATTTTCAGCAATTTTGCAAGCTGGTTGTTAAATCCTTGGCAGCTTGACATTGTCTGAGGTAAGAGTATTTATACCAGGGAAACAGGTAGACTCTGGAAATCAGGGCTACCTCTTGTCTATGTGGTTTGTCAGCATACCATTGAGTATATTTAAATTAACCATGCTCCTCAGAGTTCTTACCAGGTGAATGAAAATGTTCTAAAATTGATTTGTGATGAATGAAGGTTGTACCACTCTTTAAAGTTGCTAAAAATTATTGAGTTGTATACACTTGAAACGAGTTTTATAATCTCTAAAATGTACCTCAATATAATTGTTCAACAAAATGCTTGCAAATCAACAAACAAAATAACATGTATTAATGGCTTTAAGATTCAGGTACATACTCAATAAATGAAAAATAAAGCTATATTTACTCAGCACTTCTGATGGATTTATATTCTATGTAGTGATTCTCAACTTTGATCTCACTCTGGAATCACTTAGAAAGGTTAATAAGAAAATGCTCACTCCCAATATGCTAATGTCATTTGTTTGGTCTGTGGCCTGAGCAGAAATTTTTAAAAACTTCTTGGGTGATTCCAGTGCATGGCCAAGGTTGAGAACCACAACTATGGAGCAATTTCCCCAGATAACCGTAGCTCGCCTATTGTTACAGAAAATCATCCTCAAGTGCTTAATAAATTTCCAGGCTTTCTGAAATAGAGAAGTTTAGACATAAATGCACATTTTTGGGGTGTTTTGGGGTTGTACTGAATGTCTATTCTTTGCATACAAAGGAAAGACACATCTGTTTTCTTGTGGGTTTCACCTGTAGTTGTTTCCTGCCATGGGCATCACGGTGGGGAGAAGGGACATCATCTAGCTCATTTCGTCATCCAAGTGCCAACTTACTCAAACAGAGAGTCTAGGATCAAGGATTATTGTGTTAAAGGACTAGAGTTGAATACCTCCTTTGGATCTCTTATCTTTGGGGGCTTCCTACTGATGGTGGACTGGGAATATAGATAAGAAAGCATGTACTAGAAAGTTATGGTTTAATAATTTAATAAGGCTCTAAGAGAGAGCCCAAGTGTCCAGCTTTAGTGCCTGGACTTGTGACACCCATTTTGGATGCTCAGGGGCATTTTACCTTTTCTCTTTGGGGAAATCTAGAAGAATAGCGATGTCCTGGAACTCCGAATTCCCAAGAAGAGGAGTTTACTTTATAGAAGATTCTAGATGTTATATCTGATTTACATTCTGAAGGTAGAGTTCAATTCTGAGACCTCAAATTTGAAATCTAAAGATGGACTTACCGAGAACTTTTACAATAGTACAACACAAAAGACAATCTCTGCCGCCTTAATGCAGAGAGATTCCATTCCTGCTTCACTGTTTCTCGGGTTAAGAACATTGGCTTTGGCAGGTTGGAATCCCAGCTTTGCCATTTAATTGATGTGTGAAAAAGGCCAAGTTACTCAACTCTTTTGGTGCACATTTTCTGCCTTTGTAAGATGGAAGTGACAACAGTTCCTATGAAGATTTGAACTGTTTATTAAGACAGGAGCTGCAGGTCTCGCCTCTCATGAAGCACAGGTGTCGAAACCAACCTCACCAGGCTCTTCCTGGTACTTTTGGGTAAAGGTTCAATGTCCCTAGGAAATCCCCTATTCCTCTCTTGTGTAATATTTGTTTCTCTGATTAAATATCCTGATGAATTGTCTCATCTGGTCCTTTCTTAAAGACGAGACCATGATGACTTCACCTATTCAACCTCATTACCTGTTTGAGTCAGAGATTGTATCCTCTGAGTTGCTAGTGTTTAAAAGGCTCAAAGCTGCCCCTGCAGACACACAGACATGCCAGAGCTCACAAATGCAGTGTCAGGAGAAAGAAAGGCATGTGGACACTGCTGCAGACACTTCCTCCTTCTTTCTCTTGAAAAAGTCCCTCTCCTGTACAGCAGGGTAGGCTTTCTGTTTATCTTACCAGCAACAGCTTAGAGCTCAAACATTTTAACAGCACATTTATTCATAAATCAGACCAATATCAGGGAAACGAAGCAACAGCAACTCGCCCATCCCAATTCTGTCCCTACTCTCGAGGAATGTCCAGCATTTGAATTTTGTCCCATTTTCTGCATCTACCTGCTTTCACATCTGGAAAAAATAATATGTGTTTTTACAATGCTGTTGGCCCCAAGCAGGAACACATCCAACAGATACAATGAGTAAAGTGGAAGGGATAGGAGATTGGGGTGGCAGAGAGCTAAAGACAAGTCAGTCATCAAAGTGAGCGTTAGGGTGGGAGCGGGGAGTCAGTGTTCACCCAGGAAGAGCTTTGAAAAGCGGATCTGCTCTCTTACCCCAAGTCCTGCAGCATCTCAGCTTCTCCATCGGATGTGCTCCACAGATCTGAAGGATCCTGGGCGCTCATCTTCCCTCCTAGAGACTCTGCTCTGCCCATTCGCGCTCCTCACGTCTGCGAAGCCCCTGCCAGGTGCAATGAGGGAAGAGGCAGAGAAATGAGCTCTGCTGCTCCTCACACTCTCCTCCTCTTTGAGAGAAGCCAGCTGTGGGTCTCCAACCAGCAAGGAAGTGAAACTTGGTTACTCCTCCCACCGACACTCGCCGCCCTGGCCCGAGGCACTGGCAGGAGTGTTGTGTCAGTCAGGAAGCACGCACACTTAGCTGCTCCCTCCGAGGACACCCACACTGCACATGCAACCTGCAGTTTCTGTCCAAGGAAATAAACAGGACAGCACTCCAACTGGACTGCACGATTCATTCAAACTCCTCTCGTGAGGCCAGACCACAATTTCTCCTTAGTGCTCTCAGCCTCCGGTTTGCAGAGGAGGCTGCGTGCACTCATTCACCCCACCTTCTGCCTCACACATGAACACAGAGAACACCGAGGAAGCTTCTATTTCAGGAACATCATTAGCGTAGGTAAACAAATCAGAGTCAAATCACTAACTTTGATTCGGAAGTCTGGTTGTTAGCACTTTCTTAATGTTTCTGCTTCAATTATCCAAGTTTCCAACATACCCTGGGCGTTCAGGTTGGCATGGTTCAGAGACAATTGTTGTTTCCTCCGTGAAAGAAAGATAAGGTGGGAAGAAGGTAGGTAGGAAACCTGGGACGAGGCCTACCTGCTGCCAACTAGTGGGGCGTGTTAGAACACCCCCGCCCTTCCTGCGCTGGGCTCACCGCTGGTGGTGCTTTGTGTCTAGATCCATGGGCAGAGAATGCCATCTGCCTGAAAGTCCTAAAGGGAAACTGCAGTAAGCCTGAATCCTGGGGAGCTGAACAAAGTACAGTGATACATGGGTAGAGAACATGTGTTGCCTCCTGCCTTCTCTGTGTATGTGCCTGCAGGAGAGAATGTGCTTCTGGTCTCATTCATTCTCTGTTTCTCTCTCTCTCTCTCTCTCTCTCTCTGTCTCTCTGTCTCTGTCTCTCTGTCTCTCTCTGTCTCTCTCTCTCAGTAGTCATGCCCTGACTCACTTAGGGTTCAGCAGAGTGCTCTACAACTTGCTCCTCCCAGCACCGCCTGAGGACCAGCACCACTGGCATCCCTTGGAGCTAGCTTATCAGAACGCAGAATTGCAGGTTCGTCTCAGCCCTTCTGAAGCAGCATTGGAACCAGGTCCCCAAAGGGACTCCCTGAATATTAAAGTTTGAGGAGACTACTGTGTAGGGTTCCCAGCCTTTCCTGAAGGAGAGGCTGATCTGCACCTGGTCTCATTCATTCCACCTTTCCTTAAGGTCCTTCCCTCTCACTTCTGCGGTCTGCGATCTGAGGGACCCTGGCTTCCTCTGATTGCCGGAGAGAAATTCCTGAGCCTAGAGACAGCCCGGGGGAGAGGAGGCTCTGACAACACCCGCTGATTGCATAGGCACATTTAAAATTCTTTTGGCTACAATTTGCTCGGAGAGAAGTGTAGGATCCACTTGCAACAGAGGCCAGGCCAGGGAGGTGCTGAATGTGCCTGCGGCAGAGGTAAAGGGAGCAGCAGGCAGCAGATTTCCTGTTTCTTTTCTATAGCTCTTTGTTGTAGTATCTATTTTGTTCCTGTTTTAGCAAATTTTGGGTTTTCTTTTTTTAGGTTTTTTGTTCAGAAAAGTTGCAGTTTGCTAAGATGAGCCTCTTCCCTTTTTCAGTCCTCCGGCCACTCTCCTTTTCTGCTTTTGCTCTCCCACCTGTTGTCCTGTCCTGTGAGGGCAGTTTCCCTGCGCGGCCTGTTCCATTCCCCCAGGGTCCCTCCCTTCCCCTGCGACCCGCTCCTCTAAGTAAGCCTTCAGCCCGTAGTGGAACCAGTTCTGCGGCATTACTAGATGGTTTCGACAAAATTACTGGACATTCATAAAACTATCTGGGAATATATTTGACATTAGACTATGTGGATGTTATAAAATTTTTTATCAAAGAAATCACAACTGTTGCTTCCAAACAAGTGCAAGGTATATTTTTAAAAACCACATAATTCACTTATTTATTTCAATAATCTCTTCAGTGGTGCTGGTTCATAGCGCCTAATTCTTTCCCTACTGATATTGGACACAGAAATAGACACAAACAATCCACCTTGTTTTAACAATTTTGGAAGATCTCATTTTTTGATGGAAAATATCCTATTTATCAAAAATGTTAGGCCTTTTTTGGAATGGCAATCACATTCAAAACACCAACTTTCTCACAAAGAGAATTTGAGGAGAGCTATTTTGTCCAGATTTGAATTTCTTTATTGGAAGAATGAGATTCTAACACTTGGGACTCCTTCAAGAAGAACTTTTTAATAGAAACAACTCCATGTCATTGGAAATCCTTTTTAATCTTTTTCTTTTTTAAAAAAAAATATATATTTCTATTGATTTTTTTTTTTTAAGAGAGAGAGGAATGGAGAAGGAGAGAGAAAGAGAAATATTAATTGGCTGTCTCCTGCATGCCCCCTACTGGGGATAGAGCTCTCAACTGGACATGTGCCCTGACCTGAATGGGACCCGCAACCTCTCAGTACTTGGACGATGCTTAACCACTGAGCCACACTGGCCAGGGTGATCTTTTTCTAATTTATTTATCTGTACAGAAAACTCACATATCACAATGTCTGCATTTCACCTGGTCACCCAGCAATGGCAATTCTACACAGTGGGAATGGTGCTATGGACTCCCTTTGTTACTTATTTACTATTAATCAAGCACTTCCTTTTCTTCTCTATCATTTATGGTGGTGGAAAATAAAGGATACATTCCTGAAAGGGAAACCATGGCTCAGAATTACCATGGACTGAGGTTACCATAGCTTGGGGTTAGGGGATCTTTACTCCGTTTCTCACTGTCTGTTCTTCCCATCCGTGAAAAAGAAGAAACTATCATTTTGTGTTAAATTAGAACAGAGGAACAACAGACAAAGAAAGAACTGACCATTGTTTTTTAGCTACAGGTCAGCTCTCCAAAAGGAGGATTTCCATCTCGCCTCCTAATTCTGTGGCAAGCTCAGAGCTGCTATATTGCTCTTAAAAATATTGGAGTTTTATTTCAAGTTACCACCTCTTTGTTCTCTGACCCAGTTATGTGATCAAAGGCTAAGGTGACTGGTTTTCTTTAATTAATTTGGACCCTATTTTATTTTCCTCTCTTGCCCATATAAGTAGTCCTAGCTTCTTTGTTGAATAAGGTTGTCTGGATATGGCTATAACTCATCAAATTCAAGGCGTAAAATTCACTCTGCTTCCTCTTTTGGGAGCGTGTGAAACTGGAAACAGAAACAGAAGTTTCCACAGGAGAAAGGAAAGATATAAATATTTTGGATTTTACTTTTGCAATATGTTCTTATAAAGACATAGTTTCCTGGGTGATTTAAAATTCTGAAAAATTAAGCCCAGTAGAGCCATGGTGTGAGCTCCCAGGTGCTCAGGAAATACTTTGGTCATTGAGAAATGACAATGATGGCTGAGTGGATATCTCAGCTAGGCAGATGGATACCCAAGTGGTGGTGAGAAGACAGCCCTGTTCTCCCTTTTGGAGCCCTATGGGTAGAGACTGGTCACACAGTTCATCCTATGCTGGACCCCACCACCCCATTGTTCTGGCTTCTCTTCTCACCATTCCTCCTGGGAGTCATTCTACTTGTCTTCAGTCAATTTTTCTTCCATTGCTCCATTTAGGCCATGTGGTGTACTGACCTAACCTTGAACTCTGACTTGTATTTTGGTTTCTACTCTCTTCTTGGCTGCTGCATGTGGAATCCCATCACCACCTGCTTCCAGATCCCTCACTATTTAATGGACCTTCACCAGGCCACCATGGTCTATGTTCTCTTTATGTGGGTGTCATTGCTCCTTCCTGATCTCGATCTGCTGCTATGTATAGTTCCTTATCTCTGTCTCTACAGAGCTATCTCCAGATCTTTGTTCCTACATGGCTCACTCTTTTCTGAGAATGTGTGGTGGGGGCAGAAAAGTTGTTCCATCGATGCACTGGAGGTGATCCATTTCTTCAAGTTGGTGAGTTATGGCCATATCCAGACAACCTTAGTGGTATAGCTTCCTTCAAGGAAACTGGATTAAGCTAGGCTTGAGAATTCTCTCATATCCTATCCAGAAAGAGTTTTCAGGCCCCACTGTTAAATAATGTCAATCATATTAGATTTTTTCTTTACTTAGAAATTTTTCTCTCATTGGTAAACTTAGGCAAACAGATTTCTGCTGGATTCCTCAAACCATCAGTCATATCTGGTTCTGTTTAAATCCCAACTCTGGACAGGGTCTCCGAAATCCCATACCAAACAAGAAATGAGTCTAACTAGGTAAGGAGTGAGCAGGGACAGGTTTAGGAAAGCTCCATACTGTATCCTCAGCACCAGCACAATGAAAAGCCCACTTCTGTGAAACTATTTGGCCACGTTTTCTCCTTTCTTTTTCCCCAAGGTGGAAGAGACTCAAGCACCACTTACAGTTAGTCTCATAAAGAATACATTTGCTTTGCGCACACTCTCCTGTTTGGTGTGCTCTCCTCTGTGCTTCCTTTGCATCTTCAAGCCTCAGCATATGTTTATACCTCTTCTTGTGATGGTTTTCTGGCTCTCCCTTCTGCAGACTGGGTTAGATGGCCTTCATGCTGCTCAGCACCTGTACTGCCATAATATACTTTGCATATCTTAATGGTAACACTTTTGTCACTGTGTTGAAATTGAAGTTTTCTTCCTTGATGTGTTCCTCAAGACAAAACTCTATGCATTAGTGTGAGAGAACACTTAGAGGAGAGCTTATGTCTTGCTCATTTTTATACCCCTTCCGCTCAACACAGTCCCTGGGGAGTAGTAGCAGCTTGACAATTCTTGTTCAATTAATAGTAAAGGCCTCTGTCTAAAGATTTTGGTAGAAAGATGAAAACTGGGCTAACTTTTTATATTGGTCATTGTGTCAGCTTGAGTGTCTGGAAAGTAGATGCCATGATGGAACTAAACAT